CAGCACCAGATGTAATTCACATGCCAAACAGTTCCAACTTCCCACCTACCAAGTGGCTACACCTCCTCACCCTTAAGGTGATGGAATATGCATGTTTATATCCCAGTTCTCAGGAGGCTGAGGCATCTACCTGAGGATCACCATGAGTTCTAGACCAAGACTAGACTACACAGCAAGACCCTACCTCAACAAAAATAAAATACATATTTAACAAATATCTCACATGGTACTCTGGCATTACATGGACTTGAACTTAAGGTCTTCACAGTCTACAAATTAGTGTACCAAAAGAGAATAACCCAGTTTTTTCTACTCAGGACTCACCCTTCTCTTTAGTGGCAGCATATTTCTGCTGTACCTGTTAAACTTTTTTTTTTTTTTTTTTAAATGTATGTAGTACAGGGTCTACAGGGTCTCACAACATATATCAGACTCGTAGTGATCCTATTTTCAGCCTCCCAGTCGCTGGGATTACAGGTGCGCACCACCCCAGCCAGTTTCAATGGCTGTCTTAGCGAGCCCTGGGGGTGAGGCCAGCACAGCACACCGGGGGTCGAACCCCAGCAGCTGGGCTCGGCCTAAGCAGGCACTTTCAGTCCGCTGAGCTATCTGGCCGCCCCCTGTTAACTTGAGCCAAATGTTTTCAACAATTTGTGCTCAATTTTGTTTCTGCTAAAAGGAGGTTTGGGCTGGGGAGATAGCTCAGGGGCACAAGAAGCTGCCTGTCCCTCAGTTTGATTTCTGGCACAAAAAATAAATAGCCTTTACTCTCCTTTCTTCCCTACAAGAAAAACTAATGAAACTCATTCATTTAAAAAAAACTGCCACTTTTCTCTGTGGAGCAAGCGCTAGGTTAGAAGCAGACCCATGAGCTGGTTGGCGCCTTCACAGAGCTGGTTATAAAACTCTGAAGAGTTCTTCCAAGAAAAAAAAAAAAAAAAAGAAAGAAAGAAAAAAAAATCAACCTGGCCAGCAAGTGTAAAAAAATAGCAAGCTACTTAGTCACCTCCTCCTTAGTGCTGCAGGCTCCAACAACAGGGCACATAGCTTCAATTACTGTCTCTCTGAACAGTTTGCTACTAACAGAGAATCGCAAAAACCCATAACCATTAAAATTTCTTTCCCACAAGTCAGGTGCCTCAGTTCCTTCTGTGGATGGGCAAATGTCTTGCATTTTCCAGTAGAATGCAAACATGGGGAGCACATAGCAGCTGACAAAGACTTGCGAATGTAAGAAACAGTCACATAGCAGGTACACCTTGGGCTCAATTACCCTGTGTCTCTAGGATGTGTCTTCCTCACGGTGGATGACCAGACTGTCACTTAAAAATGACAAAATCCATGTGTACAATAGGATTTCTTCTTCTTCTTCTTTTTTTTTTTTTTTTTTGGTGGAACCGGGGATTGAACTCAGGCCCTTGCGCTTGCCAGGGAAGCGCTTATTCCACTGAGCCATCTCCCCAGCCCCTACTATAGGATTTCAACAAAAATTTTCATTCCTTTACATTCTCGCTTTTCCAATTTAAAATGCAAGCACTGTGTTCACACAGGAGCAGATATGTGTTATTCTGGGTACGTGTCACCAGCAGTTTGTTCATGGAGTGCAGTCAAAGAAGGAGAAGGCATCGACAAGTCTTCAAAGACTCAGAATCAGAACATCTACACAACAGTGTTGCAGACAAGCCTAAGCAATGGCCTGCTCCACTCGGCCATTTCAAAAGCACAGCAGCAAATGCGAAGTGTCTACAGCCAAGTCCACTAACTTCCAAGATTCCCAACTCCACCAATGACTAGCTGTGAATGCCAAAAGCCTAGGAATCATTCTTTTCTTGCTGTGCATTGAGTACTCTGTGGCCAGGCAATGCCACAGGTCTACGTGCCAATCTGGACTCACCGCCTTCTCCTCGTGCAAACATGGTCCATGTAAGTCGCATCTGGGTCCACTGAACTTTGTACTATGTAATAGTTAACAAATACTACTGCAAAAAACAAATATGGACATTGTAAAACAAAATAAAGTGAATGTTATAACACTCAAGCTATGAAGACATTATTATCAATTTTTTAAATATAAATGTAGCCAAGTCTCTCTCTTGTCAAAAACCTAGTTCACAGGTCCTGGTCTGCCACTTCCTGGCTGCTGCCCCACCTCAGGCTCTCTCATAATCATTGTGTAGAATGTGCCCTCCCGCCTCCCTTCTCGGCCATGAGAGTCACTGTCAAAGTGCTGCTGTAGCGCCCAGGTTTTCTCTATGAGCACAGGCATGTCACCGGAGTGACAATCATAATGAGCTCATGACCCAGAGCTCCGTGTGGGCAAAGACCATATCTTCTTTGCTTATCAAAGCCCTTGTGCCCAGCATAATGCACTGACACACATTGACAGTGAATGTTTGTGAGATGAAGAATTACCTGAGTTGTGGAGGACATGGGAGAGGGAGACTTCTCTTAGAAGTCCCCAGATGGTGCCCAGGACAGTCATCATCCCCTGACCTATGATGCCAGCGAGAATGGACTCCAGGTTGGAGGGCTGTAGAACTCATCTAGGCCTGCCTAAGTTACCTGCTTAGTCTTTGCATGCTCCATAGACACACCAGTCCTCAACCTGTGGGTCTCATGCTGATTTCCACCCAGTTAGCTACGCTCTGTGTGCAACAGGTCTTACAGCAGTAATCTGCAAGTTCACTTCTTTACCCTGCCCTTGCCAGCCAAGAATTTTCTTTGGGGCAAAAAAATTCAGAGTTGAGTAACTATCCTTTGCTATTTAACCGCTCAAAGTTTAAGGCTGATAAATGCACATATACATAGACAGTTCATTGTTGTTCACGTGAAAATATCCAAAGGACCTTTGCCATACATTAGCAAGCTGTGAGCCAAGACAAGTCCCTTAACCACTAATAGCATCACCCTATGTACTTCAAGAACTAAATATGAATTGTTTACCACACATTTAATAGAAACAACGTTTTATTCTAAAAGTCCAGAAAAAGTATGAAATTTACCTTACAGAATGCTCCATTAATTTCCATTTATCTTACAGAATGTTCTAGAGTATTTCTGTGATCCACAGCTTGGAGTCATATTTAAATCCAAGGTCTGCAGCTTCTGGTGAAGTCTTCCTAGTGTCTTATTCTCCTACAGAAGTATGACCTAGCTCACGGAATCATCTGAAGATTTAAAAATATTATGTGGAAGCATTTGCGCTCAGTAAGGTTAAAAAAGAACAGAAGTGACCTAGCATTGTAGCATACATAGGTTCGGAAATGAAGCACAAAACCCCCAGCCTGTCTGTTGTTGAGGCTTTTCAGAACGTATTGTCAGCCTAAGTTGTAGAGTGGTACCCACAGAATA